TCCTGAATTGGTTTTAATTTTCGCTCGGGGGTGGTGGGGGGGGGGGTGGGTGGGGGGGGGCGGGGGGGTGGGGTTACAATGTCACTTCTCTGACACTCACACCCACACCCACACCCACACCCACACCCACACCCACACCACCCACACCCACACCCACACCCCCACAACCACACCCACACCCTAAACGATGAGCGTATAGCGAATCTAATTATGCCTTTATTTGATGATTGATAGGTCTGTTGTTGGCAGGTTGAAGCTAATTCAAGTGTACTTCTAGCTTCTAAAAGTGTTGCGATTCATTAGCCTGTTGCTTTTCTAGAGTTCAAATTGCACACGTAAGTCAAGAATACAGTTCAAACGTTTATGAGACATATTTGAACTATTTTTGCGTTCTTAAACAGTACTAGGAATGACCAATTTTACTAACTTTACGCTCTATTCGATAATCAAATAGCGTAATTTCAATTGATATTCTGGATAAAAACCGCTGCTGCTTTCATACTTTTCAATTTCTATATAAATACATCAGTATACTTTCAATGGACAATCCGTACTGTGTACATACATTATCATTCCTTGACAGAGTCTACACAAGCACATTTTTCAATTACAACATGAATAACAACATTAATGACACTCATTTCAACCAACTATCGATCGAAGCCGTCGGTCATGGATGAGCAACCATTCGGCTTGTTCTACAACTAAAAACTATTACATTCTTTTTCTTTTCTTAAAGGAAAGAAAAAGAGAATTGAGTAGGTATAAAAACGATGTCCAACTATGCAGCAATTCGAATATCACTTAATTGTATCGTCGAACAAGTCAAATAGGTAAGTCGTCGGCTCCTTCACTTCAAGACCATACAAAACATCCGTTTTTTTAAATTTAAAAGACCCTCTATCTATATATAGGCACTTATGTTTGATAAAAATTTGTTATCAATAACTAAATAGAATATAGTTAAGTTAATTAATTTGATAGAAAACTAATATAAGATTAATGATTTAACTTAAAGATAAAAATTGATTCGAAATTAAGATAAAAAGAAAATAGAAAATTAATTTACGGTAAATTTAGCATAAGCATAACAAAAATTAATTAAATTAATAGGTTAAACATCATATTAGAATAAAAGTTATTTTTTGACATTTCGGTATGGCATAGACCTTCTTCAGAGTTTGTTATTATAAACATATTATTGATGTTTATTTTATGTATAAGTATGTGAAGCAGTCATTGTAGAAGTGTATGTATGAAGAGCAGATGCATATCTATATCAAGACTCCATATACCGAGACCCTACAGACCCACATTCACACCCTGTTGGATGATATTGTAGGAGAAGCAGAGGATCCTTGAATTCGTCACTATCTTAGACTCAAGCTTGTTCTCATCTGTTTCTAGAGCTACATCACTAAACCATGTCCACACCTGTAGAAGGACAGCGAGATATTCTGCCAACACCGCTACTACCCAACGGCGGGGTATTTACAGTCTCATCTTCAATCGTAATCTGTGCACCTGCCTCATCTATATTCTCCGCTATCGTCGATACTGCAAACTGGTACAAGTGGAATACTTTCGTACCATCTGTTGAGATTCTCAAGCGGCCATCAGATCAGAGTGACAATGCCGAGAAATTGAAAGTAGGTACCAACATGCGCTTTACAGTATATATGAAACCGGGTGGTTCGGCAACATCATCTCTCCAGCAAGTCACTGTACTTGATTCCGAGGGAGGTAAGATATGCTGGAAGTTCACTGGTGCCCCTTCTTGGTTGTTACGAGCTGAACGAGTGCATGAGATGATAGACAAAGAGGATGGTACATGTGAATATCGTACATGGGAAACATTTGCTAGGCCAATCGCTTATATCATACGATCAATCTACGGTAATGAGTTGCAGGAGCGGTTTAAAGATTGGACAAGCGGTCTGAAACATTATGTGGAGACAGAATGACTTGAAGCATGTGGAAATCATGCTCTTTGAAGCGTCGATCTGTTTGAATATGTATGTCTCTGCTTACTAAATAATATGCAGAAAAACAAAACAAAAAAACAATTAATATCGAAAGTGTTCTTGAGATTCGAAGAATTTGCATGATATTACAGATAGTTGTGAGTTTTAGATTTTGTTTTTACTCAGCTTCTCTGCCGATAACAATAAACTGGTGAATGACTATTCGATCATGCTCAAAAATCTAGCAGTCAAAATTATTCAAGTACAAGTCCTTATTCCTGTAACTGATTTGTTAACAAGGTTCACTACGGTTCATATTCAGTTTTATTTACAAAGAACATTGAAGAGTCATACTTTATGCGTACGAGTGATGACTTAAACAGCAAACATTTTGACAGCTTGCTAGACATTATTTGAGGCTTTTTTAACCCAGTAGAAAAATCGATTAGAAATTCTACATCACAATGAGTTCGACAGAGAAATTCTCTAGACATGATATATTTTCACGCCAGAAAAGTCGAATACAAGCGAATATTATCGAATGTTGATAGCAATCTACACTGTACCTTTTCATCGGGAATGCTTTGATTCACAAAGAAATGAACTTCACAATCTTTATAAATATTTGCCTCAGTTACAGTTAAGTCTCCTATTCGATATAAGTGATTAGCTAATCTGAAAATTTTTGTATTTGATGTTTTGATATAGTTAGTTGTCTATCATTTTTAAATAGATATGATTTCATATCATACAATAGACACCGTTGTGTTCAATGTCTAAGAAACATTTACATAATTGTACGAATAATTTTGGATTTAGGTTTTTGACTTAAGGTTACAGATGTAGTCACACATTCGCTATTAACGTATATAAAGTTAGTATATCATGTTGTTAAATGGCACGCTCATTAAGTAATTTTAGACCTTGAACACTATTTGAACGGATTGAATGCACAATAGATTCATTAAAGTTATTAGATAAGTGTGCAAAACGGGATTCCGATGAACATCTACAAGGAATATCAGGCATTGATGCTACGTCACTTATTAAAAGAAAGAGTAGATAGTACATGCTACAAGAAAAGTTATATAAGATAAACCTTATTTTTAAAAACAGAGTGTTAATTTACTCTCATGTGATTTGGAAGATTTTAAAGATTAACGACTGACGATATAGAGTGATTTTAAGTATTTATATATTCTCCATTGTCGAATCATCAAGATAATGTCATTTTAAGAAGTGTATCTAAACAATCAACCTTTAATTTTTTCTTTTTATATTGACTTTTCTTTAATTAACTTCAAGCATATTGTGCACAATTGGACGAAGTATTTGAAAAGAATGACCATATTATTGTCGAGTCTTTGTTTATATTATGTGGACTGTCAAATATGATCAAGTAATAATAAATATTGACAGCAAAAGCAAGCTGTTGTGTTCATTACAATCGATTATTGCTAATTTTTCTCCATTCCAAATTGACTATTAATTGATTAAAAGTCGAATGTAAGTGGATGTGAGTTAAAAAAGAAAGGAGATCCACACTCTACTAAGAATCCTCATTCGCATCTGCATTCCATTCTCAAATGTCAGTATTGTAACATTTAATTGAACGTAGATAAAAAATGTGTTGTCTCTAGCTCAACATTAAGAAGATTGATAGAATAAAATAATTATATTCGACGAACAGCCCACTTTGATTATGTCTATTGGCAGGCATCGTATGTTTTCTATCGAATTTCTTCCTTGTGAACCAAAGCGACAAAGCTTGAAGTCTTGTAGATCCATAATCTTATCAAACGATTCATCGATGCTTCTCTGTAGTTCTTATTATGAATCAAAAATAACAAGAAAATGATGAGAAATCATGCGAATTTCGTAGTTTTTTTTCTTTTATTTCAAAGACACGAACAAACTCGTATTAAAATCCTTTCCGTGCTTATTTATCTAAGATATACAAATAGGCATAAAAGATCTACTCATTCGCATATCAATGATCAACAAAAGTTAAATTATATATTTTCATATTGTTTATTTTATCAGACAATAATTTAATAAGAATATTGTTAAAAGTATTCTCATCGAGCGAAAATCGAATAATTTAACGTTTCGTTCATAAAAATTCAACAAAAATAATTCTTTAGATTCATTTTAGAAAACTTTTGTTATGTTTCATACAAATAATTATCTACATAAGAGAATTGTTTCAATTGCTATGTTTGTTTAGCAAGTGTTTTATTTAATATGTTTGTAAATCAGTATTCTATTCAGTGTGAAGATTGAGAGAGCAGCACTCCTCCAAAGATCAAATAAGCCCTTTTTTTTTAGAGCTTATGTTTCTTGTTTCATATACAGTTTTTCTGCACTACTAATCATAGATGCGTTTAAACATCTCGTTTTTGTACTTGTCAGTAAAAAGATTTTCACTAAGTCAAATAAGAAAAACTTACCAGTTTTATTTCATTTGAATTTAAGAGGAACATTACAAGACAAGAAAAATGATTAGTTGCAATAATTTTTAATGAGAACAATGAACGAAAAAGAAAAGATGATGTTTACAAATGAAAAAATGGTTTCTGATCATAATTTAAGATATCATCTAAGAAAAATTTGTTTTTATCTTCTACACTCATCGTTAGGAGTTGTATACTTTAACTGAAGGATGAGTAATCATGTGGGAGAGGAAGAAAAGACAATTGACAATTGACAAGTAGATCATTATTGAAACGTTAATGATAATAGAGTGTCATTTATTGATAGTAACAATTACAAAATAGTAGTTGCTAGTTGTTCGATATCCTGCCGTTCTTCCGTACACTCCTGTTCCTTTTGTTTTAACTGCGGCACCTTTCGCCGTTGTCTTAATGATGAGATTGTATCATTGGTATTTATACGGTCATTTGTCGCCGATGGTTGTGTCATTGTATTTGTGTCAGATGAGCATAATCTTCCATTTCGCTTACGATCTATAAAACTCCATTTTAGAATTGATATCACTAGAATGGCAGCAACGAGACCGAAATGGACAACGAACAGTCCATATACTTGACTCAAATGAAATCCATTACCAATACCATTATTACTGTTCTTCCTATCGCAATATTTTTCTTGAAAATACTCTTCTAATAGCCGATCAATTTCACCCTCCTCTTTCAACTTCATAATGTGGTTATCCAGATCCAGTTTATATTGCCATCGTTTCGGAAAGACAATTCCGAAATCTGTTTTACCAAATGGAAATCCGACTACTTCTAGTTGGCAGTATTGTTTTGTTTGTGTAAAATAGTCAGCACTAGAACTATCAGCTATCGCAACATCAATATGATAATTTAACAATTTCGAATAACATTCTTTTTGATGTTTCAAACGATAATAATCCATCTGATTTCCATTCATAAGGTGCTGCGTAACGTATTCCTCGTGTTGTGAACGTTCAACAACACCAATACGATCACAGGATAATTTGTCACACATTTTTAAATCTTCTATACTCTGTATCCAAGGCAAATTCTGTTTTTCAATAAAATATGTAGTCATAGTAGAAATGACACTAGATAAATGCTTGTCAACCAAAGAAGAATGGTTCGACCTCGACCACCAAATAATTTCACTCGCATTTCACTTCCAGTTTGTGCCATAGCACCGACTGTATGATAGAATGATTTCAGAAATGATCGTAATATCGATTGATTGCAGATATCAGATTTTTTCTTATCTGGTCGCGTCTTTCCCTCTACTTTTTCATATCCACAAATTAGTATAACTGACATGCCCAACGTAATACCTATAACCAACCAGACGTTGCCATCAAATGGTAGAACAAATGCGTGCCAAGGAGCGAACACTTTTCCACTTTTTCTGATTACTAGTCGCATATAATTATTATAGATTGATACACTGAAATCAACTTGCTCGGAACGCCTTGGAGTTTGAGCTAGATCGGCCATAACAATTGAATAGGTACTGTTTTCAACACTTTCAACTAATTCATCATAACTGATATCATCTGGAGCCACAATCAAATTACTGCTTAGTCCTGCCCGTTTTTCAAGTAATAATATTAACTTGTAAATGTAACCTGCCTTGTCAGTTTTATTAGTGATATTGTTGAACACTTCCATATAAAACGGATGTGATACAGGAACAGTGATGTTCAATTTTACACCTGTAAAATAGCGGAATAAGTATTGCTTTAGTTGTTATCATTACACATTGTCTAAAGATTCATTCAAAGAAATCTTCAAGCACAATAAGAACTATTATAAAATTCCTAATAGAGTTAGCATATGAATAACTATCAACAATACAGAAAATGCGTGAAATGCTTCTAAAGCTACATTAAAAGATCACTTTTAGATACTTTTTTCATGGCATTTTTTTTAGTCTAATTAGGCACACAAGAAGATATTGCCGCCGTTAAATATTTAATGGCTTCATAATCAATTAATTATCGCGAGTTTTAATCGAAGAAAGTTGTTGGCTCACACAAATATAGTGGAGTTTGTACGCAACAGAATTCTACACTGTCAGAATCAACAGTGTAAAATATTGAGAAAGTATATACTTTTCGACATATTTTTTCTTTTTACTTATGTCTCTTTCAATTGCACTCGTCTTACCGTTTAAACGTGCATAATCGTTTGGTTTTACATTCGAATCTGTTGGCCATATGATTGGGTTCATTGTATTTATCCATTGAGTTGTACTATTAGGGTATGGGTGTGGGTGTGGGTGATGAAGAGATGACCCACACCCACACCCTTATATTCATTTCTTTCTTTTGTCTTGTAACACCGGTAATAGTCTTGTTAATTGATAGTTGAAAATGATCGAATAAGATCGAAAATTCCTGAAAAATAAACAAAAAATCTTATACTACATACAAATTTTGCTAATCATTGCATGAAACTGATATTTTTCTTGTTAGCATTATTTTTTAAATCATACCAATTTTGATCGAACACATTTCCGATACTTTCTAAATGCAAAGAAACTCATATTAATAAAAATTCTACCTGTAAAATTGAATCTTAGATAGTTAAAATTTTTCTTAAAGATTTAAATAAACTCTTACATATGTTGAATACATTCTTGATTAGCTGGAATCATTTTGATTGTTTCGATAGAATCAATTGATGCATTTCTCTGGACTATAATCAATTCAGATATTTGAGCCTGTACTTTAACACTTTGCTAGCCTTTCACTGACAATCCGAACAAAGAGAATACAATGGCGAGATTTGTAACTTTCGAGTCGATAATAATCACATCAATCACATTTATCTTTTCATGTGAAATATCAGATATCTTAATTAATTAGCAAAGCTAATACATGAAACTTGAAAAGCTATGAATTAATGTTTCGAAAGTGTGAAATAATGATCTTCAACAGATTAAATCAATTAGACGCAAATTTAAACAATATTATTTGGAAAAAAGAATAAAATTTATAGCGGTAATATTTGATATTGTATATTATTACTAGGAGCTGATTGTGCGATGATAAATACCAGATTGAGCAAAATGGTGAAACTTCTTTCATGACTAAGTGAATTTTACATCTCCTGTTTTCCAGACAACTGTACTACTAGTTTGCTAGAAAGAACATCTATTTTCATCGTAAGATCATAATTGAACACAATATGGTCCAGAGAAATAGGAAATGCAGAACTATGTTTGTGCCTTACATACACAATGTCACTATCTTTTTTTCAGCATAAACTGAATATACTAATTGTAATAAAACTGAACTATATAGTAATTCATAAGTTGTTTTTCTTGTTTCTTAAATTGTTTACAATAAGATAGTGATCAATTCCCTTTTAACCTTCTTTTTTGTGAAACAAAATCTGAGAATCCAAGTATGCCACAGGTTTCCAATTAATAATTGTCTTTTCTTTCTACTCGACTCAATCCATCTCGTTTACAACCAAGAAGATAAATGAATTCAACATAATTTAGAAATTATTGAGTCAATAACTAAACAACGATGTATCAAGTCAAGAAGTCGTATTTGTCATTGTCTTGTTGTTTAATTAATTACCGAAATAATGTCTGACGCATACTGATATGTTGCTAAGGATGATTCCTCTCTTTTGATCTTCTTTCTATTCATCATGCATGATCTTTTTTGGCACATAACCTGTTTGTCATTAATAAGACATATTCCTTCAACTGTTTGATCTTCTCAATCTTTCTTCTGAAGTAAGTGATCGACTTTACTAGGAAATAGAGACGGAAAAGTGGTTAAAAAGGAACCGTTGTCTCTAAACACACATCAGTATGCGTTTGGCACCATGTTTTGCTGTCCAATGTCAGTAACGAATGAATTAACAATATAACTCATTGTTCATTATGCAATAATGGAGAAAAATTATAGGTTTGATTCAACGAATCGAAAATCTTATTGTAAATAACTCAAATTCTTTTAATTGAACGTTCTATTAATGAATAGAAAAAAAAGAGAATTGACATTAATCAATACTGAAAAGATTACAATAATCAAAATAAGTCGCTTGATAGATCCTTGTTTCGAAATTAACTAATTTATTACATATTTGTATTTAAATTATTTAAAAATTTCCCAGAAGGTGAATAAAATGCTGTAGCGAAATAATTTGAAAAGTCGACTTCTAATCCATTCACGCTGTACGTTCAACTTCATTTTTATTTCATTATAAACAAATATAATTGATAAAAATCATTTGGAATTCAGCACGAAAGAAATGAATAATATATATATATATAACAATTAAGTACTTATGTTAATTATATCGACTATTCAGACTGAATAGTCAAAGCCATAAAACCTTCGCTTATGTGACACAAGAAAGAATATTTTTTATTTATTCTCCTGTTGAAAATTTCCAGCATTTGGTTACTTCATTCGTTCTGTTCATATAGACATAATTGTCTTTTTCTTCTCGTCTCTTTCTTATTTCACATTTTTCCCCAGTTTTCTCAGCAAACAGTAATTTAAATAATTTGAAACATTAATAATGCCAGAGTTTGGTCGATGTGATGATCCATCATGTACTGAAAAAGCTGTTCGTTTATTTGATTGTGCTCATCATTGCATGAAAATGATTTGTCTTCAACATTTAATTGAACATGATTGTTTAGTTGAAAATAATAAACGACAATTAGAAATTATTCTACCAGAACTTAACCGTCTTTATTCAATCTATTCATCAATAATTGACGAAGATAAAATTCGTTATGAATATGAACAAAAGTTAGATGATTATAAAAAATTAGTAAATGAAGTTAATAATTTGTTGGAAAATAATTCAAATGATATTGAACAGTTTCGATTAATTATTGAAAAGTTAAAGCAAACAATTAATGAAAAACAAAAACAATCAGGTGATCATTTAAGTAAGATTTGTTATTTTCACTTTTTTGAAAAAATATTTTAAATTTTATGTTTTTTTTATTAGCGATTGTTAAAGTTGAACCATTTGAAGAAATCTCATCATCAACAACGAATTTAGATAGTATGAATTTTGTTTTAATATAACAGAATTTTTTTTCTCAAAATTTTTTAGAAGATGAATCGTTATTCATTGGCTTCGATCGATTACAAAAGCAAGTTTTTTTTTTTTCTGTTTCATTTCTATATGAATTGTCTTTATTTTCATAGTTTGATCATAGATTCTGATTATCATAGACGAAAGGGTAGATTCTTTTTAATAAAATCAACTTAATACATGTTTTTTTTTAGCTATTGAAAATACAAATGCACTGAACCAATCAGAAAAGTATTTAAGTTCAAAAAAAATCTCTAGTTTTGTTTTTTACTTATCTATTGTAGTAAAACAATTATTGCCACCGATGATGACGATTATAGCATTGTAAAAAGAACGTTTGTAATCATTTGCATATTTTCTATTATTTTTAGAATACAAATATTCAAATTCATCGAATTACTGGTCAATGTCCACTGTGGATAAATGGCTCCTATGGTCTCAATCAAGAACATCATTTTCATCGTTTATGTCGGAAAAAACGTTTTGCTGATTTAAGTAATCATATACGTCAATATCATGGTTTTTTAGCACCAATTGCTAATATTATTGCAAGAGCTGTTTATTCGAAAATACCAGTTACAAAACGTTTAATTCCGAATAATCTACAAGTTGCTGATCCACGACGAAGTTTTTTTTGTCCGCTACGTGTTGATTGTCAAAATCATTGTTGGTTATCAGCATCCTCTCTTCGAACTCATCTTATTGATGTACATGATATGAATGAATCGATGGCAGAAGTGAAAGTTAAAAAAATTAAAATATTAAACAAAAATAAGCCAATGTCAAAAATTAAAAATAAAATCTTGCAAATTATTAAAAAAATCGAATCCACAAGTAAAGGTCAAAAGCGAACACATAGTAAGTCAAATTTATCATTTATTATTATTATTAGTTCGAATCTGGTACACATTATAGTTGCTCATACAACTGAATAAACTGATTCTAACGAATAATGCTTGAGTTTAGTTCAAGAGATGCGACAAATTAAATAATTTGCAATGGACACTTTCGTGGCGTTTACAGGAGCGAAAAAGAACTTGAGTCAGCTGTTCTTCAGTCATAGTGTATGCCTAATGCTAGGCGAAGATGCATAGAAGAAATTAAACAGCAGAGATGTAGGAGAGTACGGGATCAATGACAGTGTCCAAATTAAAAATTAGAACTTGCTCCTCAAGACTATGAATCTTTGCTGATATAGTTAAAAACAGAGCTTAACACTGGACACGACAGTTCTGGAAGATAAGCAATGATGGAATGGAAAAGTTGGTCCTGAATTGGATATAGTATTTTTACAATTTTTGCATACTACACACTAATTAGAAATGAATATGTTCTTTCTCCTGCTGCTCGTCAGAACATAACGGAACAGTAGGTTAGGATAGGAGCAAATACGTTGTCTCGCGCTCAGCTCTGGCTAGACGATAATATATTCTGTTAAAGGATTTATACAGGTACCTTAAAAACTCAATGAATTTTAATAGCCCTTCCAAGTCTCAAATTCAACACTTTTATATATCTTTTCATTATCAAACACGTTCTTTCGTGATGAGAAATATATTCTTTCATTTTAGCATCTCCAACGAGCAAAATATCAGCGATGATCAATGACATGGAAACAAATGATTTCTAAAACTTTTTTCTTTCTTTTGATAAATTGTTTCAGTAATAAAGAAAAATCATAACTGTGAATTCTGTTTGTTTTTGATTTTTTGCTTTTCCAATATGCTACACATTAGATACTGTACCGATTTGACACTGAATAAAGGAATTATATGAATTTCATTGTTGTAACTAGCTTATTTGCTTAAAATATTTGCGAGAATATGTTGAAATAGAAAAAAGACGATTTAAAAAGAGAAAAATAATTATGTATTTTCAACAAGAAATTAAAAGCTATTCTATGTACATGCGTACTCATTGCTGAAAAACAAATTCATGATATACGATGCGAAAAACTATGATCTTATCAAGCTAAAGCAACATTCGGCACACCTAGTTATTCTAGTATTCGCCATCAAAAGCTTTTTCGATGGTTTAAGTCTGCTATGGATGTTTGTCATGTAGTAGTATTGATTTTTTTTTCATGTTCTTTTCATTGTTCGCCCAAATTCTTGATTCTATCGAAGTAGATGAAGTGTAGTTAAAGTTTGGCAAAAATCTTTCTTTTGTAAATATTCGACTAGAGAAATAATAAGCGACACGAACTTTCTGGTCAACTGATATAGAATTCAATTCTTTATCGAGTTCTACTAGCTTTCATTTAAAGCGATGACAGAAAGGTACTGCTACCGATTGTCAAAAACCGAAAGTCAGTATCGATTATGTATAATACGATGACTTCTGACACGCATTCTTTTGACTAATTAGCAAGGCATATATTACGAAAAAAAACGATATTATTTTTATTTGGATTATTCCTTTTCAAAACAAGTTGTCGACAAGTGCCGTTTGGGATCGGATAAAGTTTATTGCGTAGAATTCTGTCAAGAAACAATTTATTTCCTTGCTTGAAACCTAAGTAACACCTTACAAAGTGAATTATCTGAAAAAAGACGTTCGAACTATTATTTTAAAATGTTGTTTTTGTTATGCACACTCAAACACAATGGATTTCTCTTATGAAAATAGAAGTTATTTTCAAACATTTAAAGATAATTTAGAAATCTCATCTAATATAGAGTTCAATTGCATGTCGTAAGTCTCTTAGGCGCCTGTTTTGGATGAGAAAAGAACATTGAAAATATGAAATTTATTGGTGTTGGAAGTAGATATCATAGACTGCATAACATACAGCAGTCCATAAGTGTATTTTGTTCGACTGTTGTAAAATAAAACTAACAAGAGTTGATAGAAATTTGAATTCTGTAATTTCCAAGAGGAAAATTGGAATCAACTCTTATTTTTTCAATAGAATATTTGTAAAAGAAAAAATTTTGTAAAATATTGCCACATGTAGTTGTTATTTTATATAGTAACCTTAGCTTCAGTCTCTTGACATTCTATATTGAACAATAAAATAAATATTCAAAAATAATACTGTTAAAATGAACCTAATGATGCTAAATATCATTAGGAGAACTCAGATAATCTTAAAATTTGTCTGTAGAAATGTTCATTAACATTTCGTTTAATAAACGAATCCTATAGACATAATTCGTTGATCATTTCACACAAAATCATAAACTAAAATAGATATATACTGAACTTTTATTTTGAACAATTTTCAATCGTCAAGACTGTAAAAAAATTTAAATTATTTTATGAAAATGGATTAAATGTCAATCATAATCGTAACATTTCATGTCCTTTTAGTCATAGTGTGATCAACTTAATTGAATTCTGTTAAGTACAATGACGAAATAGATTGTATCCATCCGAATGAAAGGAAGATTCATGGTTAGCTTTATACTTGACATAGGTATCACTTGTAAAACGGCAAGAAAAATTTCCAAAAATGATTTCTTCGAATGATAAAGGTGCTACTCCTTGCTGGACCAATTTTCTGATTATGACTACAAAAGAGTTTTCAATTAAATACCACGTCTTGTATCTATATTGTTCTTTTCCTTATTGTTCTATAAAAGCATCATGCCAATACGTACGAGCGCAATTTATTAGTTTTTTTGAAAAGTATTTTGTAATGGCTATTCAAGATAATACTAATTGTGTTTGAAGTTTTCCAGTGGTCAAATTCGATAATCAATCCATAATATATTTTTTTCGAGATATTACTCAGTATTACTGAGAAGATAATCTTCGAAAAAGTAGAGCGGTATTTTTATCTCTTTTTCTAGGTATCGACATCATGATTGTCATGCTTCAATTCTCGGTCTTTTTTAGCATTTTTAAATCAAAGTCATCAGGACTGGAACAAAAAAATCCTGTTAGATTCTTACTGTTTTTGAGAAAAATTATCTTATGTAGTATCATTCACTGACTGATACAATTTTTTTAAAATTATGTACGCTTCATGCGTAAAGATTATAGAATGAAATTTAGAAGGACATGAATAAGATTAACAGTCTCAAGTCTACTTAATTTCCAATGTTGTAGCGGATTATTTGTAGGATTGTGAACATTTGTCAATTAAATATTGGTTATCACACTACATATGCGACATCTAACTACGTTGACGAAATGAATTTCTTTTCTTTCTTGAATATTCTGAAAGAAAATTTGTTTGAAATCTATTAAACAATTTTTGGATTAATTAAAAAATAAATTTCAAAAGTTCTCTATCATTATAATTTCAAAAATTAAAATCTACTGGTTTTCTGAATTACCATTCAGAATTCGAGGTAACGTTATACTTGTTGTACTTGGGAAGAATAGCATACGATTATATTATTATATTCACTACTATATTGGTCACTTTAATACCTACATAAATTTATCTTTATTAAAAGGTGAATATATATATATTTTTTTCTTTATTCAGAAATTAAAATTTATATTTCATTCTTCGTTGTTGGTATAGGATATGCGAGCCAAGGTAAAATAAATTTTTCTTTTATTAAAATTTCTTATGAGCATTTGTTTTATATATAGTGGCGTAAGAAACGAATGCGTCGGTTGAAACGTAAACGTCGTCGTATGCGTGAACGTAGCAAATAAATTTATTCTACAAAGACAATAAAACATCCAAGCAAACAAGAAGATTTGAAAACATTTCATATATTATTTGTTTTTTCTTTTTATTATTCTTGTTTTAACATAAAGAAATAATAAAAATTTCATTATTGTCTTGTTCATACATAAGATAAATTAAAAAGTTGATTTGTTTACTCTATTAAAAATTTAGATGGCTTCTTCTTCAAATCAATCACAACAACAACCGATTAATTATTCAGCTGATGCTCCACCTACAACATCTTCAAATACAACAACAAAAGCTTCAATAACTTTTGATGAAGATTTATTTCTTTTTTTACCTCGTCTTAGTGATATTCTTAAAAGGTATAATATTAAATTATTTTTGAAAATAATAAATTTATTTTTTTTGGTTTTCTTCGTTTAAGTTTTGAAAAAAATCCAAGTGAATTAAAAGTAAAATTAGATGAACTTCGAAAACAATTTGAATCATGTCAGGATATGATATCACGAGTGGAAGGTATTGATACAACAATTGATGATCAACGTTTGGAACTTGAAAGACTTGATAATGAACTGAAATCGAAAAGTGAACTACTTAAAAAACATATTCAAATGTGTAAATTTGATTTAAATATGCCACCAAAAACAAGACGAATTTCATCGGAAACTGAACAAGATTTAACAAATCAAATATTACAAAATCCAACAAATGCAATGAATATCAATGATGATGACGATGATGAGGATGATGATGATCTTTTTCAATCAGATGATAATACTAATTTACAACAAGAAACAAATAATGAAAGTCTTTCTTCATTTTTTTCTTAATTCTTGTCAGATTTATATAGAAATATATATATATATGTATAAATAAAGAGAAAATTCTTTCAAATTTTTTAGATATTTTTTCTTTAATTGATAATGGGTCGAACTGTTTTTATTGAAACCGATGTAGTAACATCTCAATTAAATTCACTTCCAACAAATCGATTTTCTTTCGGTTTTATTTGTGGTCAATGTACTAAATTTGAACGTGATTATATTCATTATATAATTGATGGTATCACATCAAAACAAACTGATGTTGATTCATTTTTTGATTCATCATCAACAAATAAAGACTTGTGGGCTAAAATTATTGAAATAACATCATCATTGTGTGCTGGTGTATCAATTATTGGTTTCTATTGTCGCGCAAAAAATGATTTATTAAAATCAACAAATTTTACATTAAAAATTCGACGTTTATTTGATATTCTTCAAAGTGCATTACGTATATATTCACCATGGAGTTTAACACAATCATCACATAGAATATTATTACAATCAGAATTTGGTAGTGGAGCAAATAAATGGTTAGTTAAAACAATGGATATGAGTTCTGATAGTGTTCATTTTCGACCTGTTGAAATGAAAACTTATGATAGTAAAGTAAATCCTATTTGGTGTATGACAACAACTATTCCAATACAATTTAATTTGTGGCTTAATCCATTAACAAATAATAATGATAATAATATTAAATTAATTGAAAGTCAATTTGAAGAACAATGGAAACAATATATAAATTATCTTAAAGTAAATTGAGTTCAGTTCTTAAAATGAATTACAAAATAATTTTGAATTTCTATGAAATCAAGATAATGTCTTTATTATGATGCATATTGTCCTTACATTTAACAAGGAAATCTTTTTTTGAGCTGGAATTTTATGCGTAAGATAGATTCCATTGAGATATGAAATGTTTCAAAAGGGTAAGTGCCCTTAAATCTTTCTTCCGGAGTTATAGCCATTTTACTAAAATTCTAGGCTATGGTACGTTATGTACCAACAAACAGGATGGCAATATGTCATCCACACATAGATCTACTTATGACTAGGATGTCCGGAAAATTTTGGCTGAAAACAGTTGATACATGCCGCACTATAGCCTAAAATTTCAGTAAAATGGCTATAACTCTGCAAGAAACTACCTTATGCATAGAATTCGAAACCAAAACTGACGCATTAACTGAAACAGTTTTCTCGTTAGTTTTTCTGTAGTAACATCTTCATTCTTGTGACAGCCTATCCATTTTTCGTCTGTTTGATGAGAATAGACTCTATTATCTGATTTTGAAATATTTAGGAAAGTCTTTTAATAATGGATGATCGTTTACTATCATTAGATAATTTAAAATTATCACCAAAAACAAGTCAAAGTTCTGTTGATATTCAATGGTTATCGCCCATTGATTCAACAATATCGAATGAATATTCGAATGAAAATCGAATTTGTTATAAATTTGATGGAAGTGTAAGTCTTCGACTATTTACATGCAGTTCCGAAACAACAGGAAATGATATACGGCAATATTTTATTGAAGATCTTTTTCGTTCAATTCTTATTCGTTTAAATTTGGCTCTTATTAACAATGAATCAAATACTAATGAAAATCTTTCAATAAATAAATTGATCTTACCTCGTCGTATTTATATTAATCGACCCGTTTTTATTTCTGCTTATCAACTTATTCATGAACCACTATCAACAGTAATTGATTCATTACAAGAAAATTTTAAAATAACATCCATTATGGAAGAAGATTTAGAAGCTGCTGAAGAATTTCCACCTGAAATAACGAATGATGAAAGATTAAAACAATTTAATACAAATATAAATAAAGATAATAATCAAGAAACATTTACAATCCGAAAGAGCATATATCAAAATTTTGTTACCATGATTGAGAAACAGTTTGGTACTGGAAATACTATACTAGTCATTTTAATCACTACAATACTTGTTTTACTGATTAGTATCATGATAAAACTTTTCACTTAATTGTTTTGTTTTTATTTTTGTTTTAAAAATATTTGTCTTTGTTGTTGTTTTAAAGAAAATGTATACAGATCGGGAAAACAGTTTGTCTTTATTTAAAAAAATGAGAAAAGAAGTTAATGTTGAAAAATATAAGATGACAAACAAAATATAATACTTATACTATACGCGAAATATTTACTTTAAACATATATAAGTCGAAAGAAAATGAATAAAAAAATGAGACTATGAAAAACAATGAAAACATGTTCCTTAAATTATTGTGTTTGCTTTTCAATCAATTTGATAGATATGTTTGGCTTTTAATCATTGATGGTGAGTTAACAGTTGCAACAAATTGGAAAGAAAAATATTTTTACAATAGAATACTGGAAGTAGGCATGTATAAAGACCGAGAAGTTCCTGACGAAGATGAGCTTTTTTCTTTTCCAAGAACTCAACTTTACCAGCGAGTCCTCAGTCTCTGTGCATGCCTGACTAGAAACTCTTCTTGTGGTGATGCAATTCTTTCTCTTCTTAATATTATTACAGCAGCTCATTGTCGTAATAATGTTACAACTATTATTTGAAATGCAAAGATAGTTGTCGGTACAAATCCATTGTCACTACCAGAATCATCGATGGTTCAAATGTCTTCTATTTTTCATATCTTTCACTATCCTCCTCAGTACAATTCAAAACTGAAATCCGAAGATATTACTTTTCGACTGAGTTTTCATAGTAAGACTCTAATCAATAAGATGCAGCTTTATCGACTTGTTGCAACGATGATATTCAAAAAAAATGTTTCAAAAGTCACCGACATCCCTCTAATGGACAAACACTGTTATTATTAGTCTAAGAGATTTGTTCCATTCTAGAGCTTTCGTTTGTGAATATTGAAATTCGCTACAAGTTCATGAAGTTTTGCAATACGGCTGAAACCAGGTACCACACTTGCATCACATTGACTGTTTAAAAAATATATGGCTGTTGCACCACAATATACATGTCTGATTCGTTACTATCGTTTTTTTGGTGAAGGATGGAGTACAGTCTTATCAGACAGTAAATTAATACCATTGGGCTTACGATAGGTAAGAGCAAGGACGTTATCTGTAAATCAAAACATGCATAGAAATGATATTAACGAACGTCAGCGATAGTTTTGTGTCGGTATAGAAAGCGATAAAAGTAGTGTGAGAATGATTGAAAATTTTCATAATATAAACTCGATCACATAATAATTTAAATTTGCTCATATTACTTAATGAAATGTATGTAAAGTTAATGGAGATAGTCCTTTACAGTATTTTAAGTCGTATAAACACCAATAGATTGTCACTGGCATAGCCAATTATGAAATACTTTGTTCCTGTGTTGAGTCAGTTGCTGTTTTTACACATACTTTTATACATGGTGGATGGTTTTGTTCAATCATTATTGAGTGCTTCATTGAGTTAGTAATAGATATTCAGATTTCTACTATAAATGATCTAATTGCGGATATATTAAGATCGTTTGGGTCACTTGCACTATCATTGTATATACTCATACAGAAATATGCAACTTAATTCATATCATAATACGAAGAACTCGTTCTATTTTTATGGATGACTTTTCTATCTTCAAGCAGTTTTTCTTTTCGAATACATTCATTAATCATGATAATACTAAAACATAAAACGATTCTAAATACTCATCAAGAGACTATTATATCTTATTGATAATAGTTATTTTTAATGAAAAACAGTTCAATTTAATATATATTTGCTCGGAATGGACTGGTTGTAGATGTTTTTTTTATGAAGATGCCAACTGATGCTATTGCTTCTTGAAATGGTAATCGAATTCAGATCATACTGAAATGCCCACGTCAACAGAACTACAAAAAGAAAAAAAAAACCTATTAAATTCTATTTATAAATAAACTAATCTAATACCAATAAAATATGCATCAACGTTCATTGTTTTTTGTATGGGATTAAATTCTAATTCGCTCACATGAAGCATCACCAGCATAACCATCATCAAAATCTAAAAAGAATTTCAAAACATCTTCATCTTCCTTGTTTTAAAATTTAATTTACACTTTTGAACACTCGATCCGCAACAACTGCCAAAATCCATCCTTTTTACGTTCGAATTCTTCTTATTCTTCCCAATCCCCGCTTTCCATAATTTGATTCTTCTGGTGAAAACATCTCCAAGAAAAGGAAAAAAAACGTTAATAGTTATGATAAACAAACAAGTGAATAAAGAAACAAAAAGAAGAAAAAGAAATCATTTCGTTCCTCCTTATCCAGCAACTCGAACATCACGAGTTGAAACACCTTCATAATATGCTGATTGATTATAAAATGATGCAGGACAATCAATTGATTGATAGCTTGTTGGTGAAGCAGCTGTTGAATATGTTGGACGAAATGTATGTGGAAAAGGACGACGTTTTTTTGCTTCAACATTGATTTTTTGTGTCTTTAAAAGATTTTCATGATCAGCAACAAGTGCTTTAGCCATTTCAATTGATTGACAAACAACAAAAGCAAAATTAGCAGCACCAACCTGAGATCCTGTATTAACAATACGAACAAGAAGAAGACTACCATATAGTCAAAAAAATTCATGAATCTAAATAAAAAAAATATTTTTATTTATCAAAACAAAAGAAAAAAACACATTGATAATTTTACTTCGTTTTTTTTGCTACTTGAGTGGAAAGATTTCCAGCAAATACTTCTTGATCATGTCTATAACCAATTGAAAGATAACCATCTTCACCATTTCCATAATACCATGAATCATCATAATAATTATTCGTATCTTGTGGATGACCACGTGTTGTTCGATTAGCATTATTATTTCCACTGGCTTTTGCTGATTTTTGTTGTTGTTTATTTGATTTATTTGATTGTGTTTGTTGTTGTTGTTGGTTGATTTTCTGTTGAAGTAGTTGCTGCAGTTTTTTCTTTTTTCCAATTGCATCTAGATATGATTTTAGTTTTAATGTTTGCTCAACAACAGGTGTTACTGGTGGTGCTATTTTCGTCGTTAATGATGTATTTAATTCATCTTTCTCTCCTTTTTTTCCGTAATTGTATTATCAAAAAATTCAATATTATTCACTGCTGATGGTGTTATTGGTGTTTCAATGACTGTTAATGAAGTTTTTGTATTCGTATTATTAGTTAAATTTGGTATTTGACTATCTTAATAACGAAAAATATCATTGTGTGCATAATATTTTTGATCGGAATTATTTGCTGATGTTAAAACAAATGTTTGAACAAAACGTTTCATAAATGGTTGACTTTGAACATTATTAATTGAGGTAGAAGATACTTCTCCACAAACTTGAACAACAACAGATGAACCAACAGTTGAATGACAATCAACTTGACGAATTTTTACATGACGTTGTTTTAAAGATAATTCTTCAATACATTTAGCAATTGGTTCTGTTTCAGTAATAGTTTTAATTGAGTTATCATACGTAAATGTTGATGATGAAGAATAAAAATGATGTAAAGATTCCGAATGTTCATGAAGAAGATGATAATAGGGTACTAATAACGATCATGATAGATGAGCAAATTACAAGTACACAAAAATAAGCTACTCGAATAGCAAAAACATTTGCACCCATTTCCATTGAATTTTCTATTGGATAAAATTCTAATTAGTTATCATAAAACAGCACTAGAATAAACATCATCAAAATTTTTTTTAAAATTTGCGAACATCTTCCTGTTTGTTTTTAAATTTAACTTACGAAGTTTCCCTTTCGATGAAGAACCTAACGCCAAACATTCTTCTTTATAGGATTGAATAATCCAAAAACGATCAAGATCATGAGAAATGTCAATCATTTGAATTCGAATCGATCCATAATCGACTCTCACTATTGAAATCATCGGGGAGTCCCCGCAAATTCACGAAATCCTCGGAAAGTTCCTGTCGTGAGTTCCCAGAAAGTAAAGCAATACAAGAAAAATTTTGTGATGAAATCTCTGGAGAGAGTCCCAAGAAGTCAAATAAAAAGCAAGAAAATCTTTGGGGGAGTTCTTGGAGAGAGTCCCTGAAGAATCCCCGGGAACTCCCTAGGAATCCTTCAGGTACTCTCTCCAAGAACTCCTCTAAAGATTGTCTTGCTTTTTATTTGACTTCTTGGGACTTCCGGGGATTCCTATAGTGAGAATCGATTAGAGATTGTATTTAATAGAAATTTGATGCATTATCTTTATCATCATCATTTAGATGATGCATATGATCTAAATGAAGTGTTAGTTGTTATTAGATTTACCAGATCAACGAATTTTTTGTACAGATTACATACGAATTTCAAATCATCACGATGCTCTTCTTTAGATGTATTAGCTGGATCATCAAGTTTTACAATTACAAGATTGAATAAACATGATGTAAAGTAGATGAATCGATCTAAAGAACAAAAAAATCTATATGATGAGTTCTTTAAAAAAAGTCTCTGAGTATATATGAACATTCGAAGCTGATAGAATAGAAAAAGTCATCAATCGAATGAAAATCTTGTGTTCTACACTATTGCAATTAATTCTCAGACTGAAATTGTTTATTACAAAAGAAAACTTGTACGAACCTGTATTTATTTGAAATAATTCCATAGAAAAGAATAAATGCTTGTTGAAGAGATTATTCTTAGATATAAATATCTAATGATTGATATTGCAAATGAAATAAATATCTAATGATTGATATTGCAAATGAAATAAATATCTTTCATCTTCTAACATTTCTTAATAGATTTGTTCTAATTTCAAGTGATTTAGTTTTGATATATTAATTGTTGAAAGTTTTTCTTGCTATGACATTTCATTTGATTTATAATGTATTAATTGTTCGATCATATCACATTGTAAGACATAATCAATTAATAAATCAATTTCATTCATTTAATTATGTATTTTAACATTTTTTTGTGTACATTATTCAATTAAATCAACATATTAAGAATTCTTTCGATAATTGTTGAACATAAAAATGAAGTAAATTTATATATAATTCATGTTTAAATATTGAAATATCGCATTTGATTAATGGTTTGTTATGGAATTAATTCAATGAAATAATGATATAAGATTATTCATAATTTTTGATGAGAAGAAAAAGATCTAATTTTTAAAAATTTAATCTAGAATAAATTGTCAAATAATAATATTCTACTAACGTAAAATTCAAATTCTATTAGTTATCTTAATATTAGTCAGAAATGGTGTTCTACAACAATTTCCTAATCATTGCTAAATACAAAATACATCCTTTATTTCATACAAGCAACTAAATCTCTCTTGGATTTCTTAGAGCTTCTTAAGATTTTCAACAAGCTTCTATAAGTGTCAAAGGACGCCCCCTGTGTCACAATAAGTTTGGATGTGGGTATAGATGTGAGTGTTGCTGTTCTCTTCAGCAATACCCACATTTACACCCACACCCACACTCACACCCTTCACAGCAATCATCAGCGAACAGACAAAAAATAACATCTTTTTATCTTTGTTTTTATTTATAACTCTATCTGTTCCTCTTCTATATATATTCAATATGGACTATCGCGATATCTATATGCAAGTGATAAACTTTTCATTTAAGAATATATGTTCAATATTTTTTCTTTTTACTGGTTTTATATGCATGAAATTATATCCAAGCAGGAGCGACCTTATCATCAATCCTTCGTGTACTAATGAAATTTTTTTTTAAATTTTTATATTCAAGCTTTTCTTGTTTTCGTTTTGATATTTATGAACTACATTCTATTATGTTGTATGTTTACTGATCTTAACCTAAAATATATATTGAAAGAGATCGATCTGCAACTTCAAGAGTTGAAAACAAGAGGTTCTGAATGAGGAAACTATTAAAAATGCTGTTAGAATGTTCTATTAATTGCTGCTGTATTTTAACAGACCTTCCTGCACTAGTAGTACATTGAAGGGCTTTTAGACTGAGATCTCCAAGATTCTATAGGATTTCAAAAGCTTCTTTGAGATTCCAGGATTCCGCTGAATTGCGTCGGATTCCGTTGAATTCTATCTGATTCCACAAAATTCTAGGATTCTGCGCTCTCTCCCTTGAATTTAACTCTTTACCCCGTTGGTCACTGGAGTGACCATTTTTAGAACAGTTGCAGAAACTAAATAAAGAATCAGATTTAAAAACGACAAGAACCTTTTTTTGTAGTAAACTTCATGGGCTATTGATTGACAAAAAGAACATTTCTCTTCATTGCTTCGTTACTGAAATATCGGGCCTACAAAATTGGTAATTTTGAAAAAACGAAAAAAAATCGAAATTTTTGCAACAAAATGTTCTCTACTCGTAGCCAACAGAGATTTTTTGACAGTTTCTGTGTAATATGAGTTGATGAAGAAGTCCTCTAGTGGATTAAATACGTTTCGAAAGCTTCATGAGAACTTCGCGAGTTACACATACAAGAAGACACCATTGACCATGTAGCAGATGGAAAGTAATCAAGAATGGAGTTAAAACATGTATTAGAAAGCTCAATTTATGATAAGTCGTAATTGTATTTATAATGAATTAAATTTCTTCACAGGTTATTAAACGGTTCAGAGCAAACTAGGCTATAATTTGACAACGCGGATAAAATATACATGTACTCTTTGGTGTTAACTTTTATCAGTTCACTCCTTGCCTTTTTTCCATTACTTTAATAGCGCGAGATAGATATTGTTTCTGTTCACTCAATGTTGTGGTCAAAGAAGACAAATCAAGCCTTACGATGTAGTTCAGTTCGCTCTATCCACCACATGATTGCTGGATCAATCAAACCGCCCGACTCTAGGAGCAGGACATTCGGTGGATCAGACCACACTATTGACATAGTAGGAAGCTAGTATTTCATTAATAAAATTATTTTATCAGTGGCTCTTCGCAAACCGCTATGGGGGGTAAAGGGTTAAATGCAACAAAATCATTATCTAAGACAAAGATTATCTAATGCATCCATGAATGCCTTGATAAGATGATTCTTCTTGGTCAATTGATGAAATTTTCAATTGAATATATAATAATTCAATAGCTTGTTCATACCATCTCTTTGCAATGTATTGTATATTAAAATTAAATCAGATACATTTGATGCATATTCATGATTCAATTCTTGTCATGTACTTCATAATAAATCAAATATAAACTGTATTCATATGAAGTTGTTTGTATATGTTTACTAACAATTAATCCTAAACAATCATAAGCATTAATTCGAAAAATATTTTCATTAAAATCATATTTAAATATATTAAAGTTTTTTAGAGATATTTTTTATTCGAATTTTGAATCATATTTCTAATATATTCATTTTGAATAAATCTTTGCAATTATAACCTGTTGTTAAATTAAAAACAAAAAAAGACATCTTCATTATTATAACGATGACTTGCTGTTAAACTTGCAAAAAAAAGACAGATTCTTATTTGTCATTCACTTGAAATTTTGAAAAGAATTTTCGACAATTTTGATTTGAAATAATTGAAATGAATAAGATGAGCATATGAATAAAATATTTCAATAGATTAAAATGGATATGTTTGTTGTTGTTTATGATCTGAAAAGATTTATTTTAATAATGAGAAAAAAAATTCTAAATAGAAGAATATGAAAGACTGATTGATATCGAATAGTAAAGATAAAAATAAGATATACATACTTTAGTACATTTTATGGATGAAGTAAACGTCATTCACGTTGTTGATAGCGCTGATCATCTCTATACAAAGCATATGGAATTTATCCAAACCGCTAGTAAATAATAGCATAAAATAAAATAAATTTTTTTTTATAAAAGTTTATTTTATCGATAGATGTTACTAGATAATGAAGAAATTTTTAAAGGTTTTCTTTTCTTTTTAAATATTTGTTATTTAAAAATAAAATAAATTTCAAATTTTTATAATAAAATAAGATAATTATTTTTTGTAAAAAATCCTAAAAAACAAAGTTCGCTTTCATTCTCAATAATAATTATAGTCTATTTTAAATATAATTATCCATTTACAAACAAATTGATTTGTATTGAATTACAAATATGAAAAGTTCATTTTTCTTTTATCATACTTTATTTAGATATGTTTTAGTATAACTAATTTCTAATTTAATAGATTTTTTTCCTACTATATTCGATTATGTATTAATGTTTAATATAACGATTATAGTAATATTCTTAAAAGTAATTTCAATACATATTATATAAGCTAATTTAGATTAATGAAATGAATATTATTTTTAAATAAATTTTCTATCAAAATATTTCTTTTAACTAACAGAAATTTCATTTACACAATTTAATTTCTCATTAATAAGAAGAAAAAAACTTTGTCATATGTTTTATTATTAAATAAGAAATTTCTTTCTTTTTGTTTTGTTATATTGTTATATGAAATATATTGATTTATTATTTACTTATAATATATGAATTGATAAGACAAATAAAATTGAAATTATAGATTCAATTAGTAGAAAAATCTTCTTTCTTCAATCAATTGAATATTCCATATATATATTCTTATCATCTTTTTTTTTATATAAATAAAATTTAATGAAATGTACTACTTAGGGCTAACCAAAAGTTCTAAGCCCTGTGTTTGAAGGACCTTGTCGGGTAAGGTAACCTATTCAGGAATGAGAAACCAAGTATACCATATTGTAGAGCATTTTTAGGCACATGGAATGGTATATAATAAATCCTGTTTTCATAAAACTTTGAAGGAATTCGAGCGAATTTACGGATGGACGACTACACACCTACAATCACATTCACCGATAGCCACACTGACGAGATGATCGAAGATGCTACGTATATAAGGTTTTA